TATGCCAATACATTTGAAAACGAAATGGAAAAGTTCCTAGAAAAACAATTACCAAATCTGCCTCAAGATAAACAGTGGATAGTCTTAGAAACACTAAAAATAAAAATAAATTAAGCAGCTGTTAGAAATTTCCCCACAAAATAACCACCAGGCCCAGATAGTTTTCAGATGAGTTTTGCAAACATTCAGATAACAGACCATTTCCATCTCCCCAACTAAGGCCACAAGGCCAGTAAAACTAATAAGGAACATACAAGAGAAGAAAATTGTAAGCTAATCTAATTCACAAACATTGATACCAAAACCCCTATACCAAACAGTCATGAATAGTGGTATATAAGACGATAAAACATTAATCCCTGAAATTCAAGAGTAGCTTAATTTGAGAAACTCTATTAGTTTCATTAATCATGTTCACAAATTAAAGAAGAACCATGATTATCTTTTTTAAAAAAAATTTTTTTTTTCAACGTTTATTTATTTTTGGGACAGAGAGAGACAGAGCATGAATGGGCAAGGGGCAGAGAGAGAGGGAGACACAGAATCGGAAACAGGCTCCAGGCTCTGAGTCATCAGCCCAGAGCCCGACGCGGGCTCGAACTCACGGACCGTGAGATCGTGACCTGGCTGAAGTCGGACGCTTAACCGACTGCGCCACCCAGGCGCCCCAATTATCTTAATGCCAAAAAAATCATTTGACAAAATTCAACCCCAAGTTTTGATTAAAACAAACAAAAAAACCCGTAGAAATAGAAGGGGATTCCTCAACCTAATTAAGGAAATCTAGTTAGCAATCTAGATCATATATTATTCTATATGAGAAAGTGTTAGAAACCTTCCCTTAGACCAAGACAAGGATGCCCGCTTTTACGGATCTTATTCAACATTATACTGGAGGTCTTAGCCAGGGCTGTAAGACAGGAAAAAGAAATAAAAGTCATAAAAAAATCTGTCATTATTTTTTTTTTAATTTTTAATGTTTATTTTTGAGAGAGAGAGAGAGAGAGAGAGAGAGACAGAGCTTGAGCAGGGGAGAGGCAGACAGAGAGGGAAACACAGAATCTGAAGCAGGCTCCAGGCTCTGAGCTGTCAGCACAGAGCCTGAGGTGGGGCTTGAACTCATTAGCCGTGAGATCATGACCTGAGCTGAAGTCAGACACTTAACTGACTGAGCCACCCAGGCACCCCAACACTGTCATTATTAACAGGTGATAGGATTCTTTACATAGAAAACCCAAAAGATTCTAACAATAATTTTTTACAAATTCTAAGTGGTTTAGTAAGAAATGGTTAAAAAGCATAATAAAAGAAGACATCATTTAATTGCAACCAAAAAGTATAAGATGTTTAGGAATAAATTCTATCAAAAGATGTACAAGACCTTTATGGGGCAGATCATAAAATTATATTGAAAAATCTTAAAGGCAACCTAATTAAATTGAGAGACACATTATGCTCATGGATAAGAAGAGTCAATAATATAAAGATGTTAATGTAGCCACGAATTGAACTATTGATATAATGCAATTCTAATCCAAATCTTTGAAGGCTTCGTTTGTTTGTTTTTGGTGGCAGTGCCAAGTTGATTCTAAACTACACAAAAGTACAAAGGCCAAGGATAGTTAAGACATTCCTAAAGAAAAAGAATTATGTGGGACCACTTGCCTTACTAAACAGTAAGACTTTGCAAAGCTGTAACACTTGAGATTGCATGGAATTGGCACAAGGAAATAGATAAGGTGACCAGTGTGACAGGAGAGAGATCTCAGAACAGTCCCAGGCACATGTACGTCCGAGCTCACACTGGAGACCTGTGGAGAAATGAAGCTATCCATGTGGGAAAGAGTGGACCCATACCATGCACACAAAAAAAATTCCAGATTGAGGTGAGGACTTATGTGTCAAAACAAAACTTTTTTTTTTAATTTTTAAAAAATATTTCTATTTATTTTTGAGACAGAGAGAGACAGAGCAGGAGCAGGGGAGGGGCAGAGAGAGAGGGAGACACAGAATCTGAAGCAGACTCCAGGCTCTGAGCCATCAACACAGAGCCCGACGCGGGGCTCTAACTTACGGAGTGTGAGATGGTGACCTGAGCTGAAGTCAGACGCTCAACACCCTGAGCCACCCAGGCACCCCCCATAACAAAACTTTAAAGATTTAAGAAGATAATACAGTAGAATAGATCATTGATGTGGATCTAGAGAAAGGTTTCTTTTTTTTTTTTTTTAATTTTTTTTTAACGTTTATTCATTTTTTAGAGAGAGAGAGAGACAGAGCATGAGCGGGGGTGGAGCAGGGAGAGAGGGAGACAAAGAATCTGAAGCAGGCTCCAGGCTCCGAGCTGTCAGCACAGAATCCAATGTGGGGCTTGAACTCACGAACTGTGAGATCACGACCTGAGCTGAAGTCAGACGCCTTAACCGACTGAGCCACCCAGGCACCCCTAGAGAAAGGTTTCTTAAACAAGACACAAAACAGCCCTAACAATATAATATTAATACATTTGACATCGTTAAAACTAAAATTAAGACCTCTGTTTATATGAAAACATCATAAAGAAATTAAAATAGAAAACACAGGCCAGAAATTGGTAGAAGATATTCACAATACACATAGTGAACAACATTCAGAATGTATTAAGAATTCCTTCATCTCAGTAAGAAAAAGGCAAGCAACCCAACAGGAAAAAAAGGACAAACGACATAAACATTAACTCGAGCAGGTGACAAACACATGAGAAAACTTATCTTTAACCTTACTAGTAATTAGGGAAACACAATTTAGCAATGAGGTATCATTTTATATCCATTAGACTAACCAAAAATTAAGGCTGACAGTAATAAGTGTTGGAGAGGACATTCATGAGTCAGCAGGATCATCTTACATTGCTGGTAGGAATGTAAATTGGTTCAACCATCTTGGAAAACAATTTAGCATTACCTTTAGAGCGAGGTATATCTTAACACATTCTCTGACCTAGCAATCCTATTCCTAAGTACACACACTCTAGAGAACCTTAAGCAGTAGTTTAGGCATACATATCTATGGATAAACTTGTTAAACAAAGAGCAAGAATGAAAGAGAGGGTTGAACATGGAGGTAGGCACAAGATAATGGTAATGTTTTAGCTCTTGTGTTGTAAGTCAGATGATATAAAGAAATAAATTTCCTAGATGTTTCTTTTAAACTGAATAACTTAAAATGGAATTTTTTTTCATTGGGGAAATTTGTATTAATAAATATAGCTATATGTGGTGCAAATGTTCATTATCAGCCAATTCAAAGATTATTGATTGGGTAATTTGACTTTCAGGGGGCAAGGGCTAATGAAATGCATTTCATTTAGATAAAGATTGAAAAACTCTTGCACACAAGCTCTTTCTTTAGGAGTCAAGAATATGATAAACATGACGTTTTGTTTTAAGCACTTTTAGGAAAATAAAAACATTCTATGGATGATCTATCTAAGGAAAAATCTGTAAGTCCAACGTAGATATCTGATGATAATGAAACCATTAAAACATTTTTGTCATTTTCAATCAAGCATGATTACCTCTTTGGTAAGTAAGTTATAAATATATATTTTTTCCAGAATGAGGGCATTATAATGCTTTCCAAGAAATTCCTGAATGTTTTTTGCTAAGTGGAGAAGATATCTCAATGGCAAAAACCTGATTCAGACTTGTACTCTTCAGAGTAGATGTGATACCACAGCTGAGAAGCTTTCAGTGAGTGTCGATAGTAATGAAAAGCAATTCAAAGAAAATGTAGTATGAACTATTGACAAAATTCCTGTTCAGAGGACTCTGTAAGATGTTGCATCAGTATCAAAGTCGTAGTATGCAGTGCACAATAACTATGATATATTTGGGCTAGTAGACATTTTACCCAACAGTTCAACAAACCATTGATCAGTAGCAGGCAACACTTGGAAAATGTATGACACGTAAATGAAGCAGTACTTGATTTTTTTTTTTTGTTCTGTTAATTGCCTCCAAGAAGAGATTTTGAAATGCAGTAAAGCTTATTGGCATGTTTAAACATCATTTTCCAAAACTGAAACAGAACATGAAGAAATATTTTCCAGAGGGAAAAGCAACTAAGTGATTTAGAAATTCAACCATCACTATCCCCCAGGATGAAACTTTCAAACTCCTCAGGAGAAATTTTCAACACTCCAGGTTTCAAGCACGATGGCCCATGAATAACTGAGAGCAGTCATCAGCAGAGTGAAAAAAAACTCTCCATGATTTTGGAGTCCACAGTCAATCTGAATATCCAGAACTATCTGCCAGTTTCAAGAACTTGCTGCAATTTCAGATGTCCTTTAACTGAGAGTTAGGATTTTCTAACTTAATAAAAATAAAGAGTAAAAATAGAAAGTGACCCGCTGAGAAACTACATATGTTTCATGTTGTCACAATCCTGGATATGTAGCCCTTGGTGTAAAGTTGCAAATGAATTTCCTCTCCAAGATATAAAACTATTATTACCATTGTTATTATTAACCTTAAAGAATTAAATAATTATTTACAAAATCGTGATGGGTCCTTTAAAAGTTACCAAAAGCTGATGGTCTGCATTAAGTAACCCAGAGAGGCTGAAGATTTGAGGCCTTCTGTTCACAATGTCTCCTGGGCCCCTGGCAGGATTCTGAGCCTTTCTTAGTATTACAAAATTATGCTAGATCGTTCCTGTTAAGAGTGGGTGTTTCTGGTGGTCTCCCCGTGGCTTCTTTTCATGTAGGAATTAAAGAGGAATTGGAGAGAGTTAGGGTCTTGTGCATTACCCTCAGAATCCCCACTTTTTCTTTTCTTTTTTTTTTTTTTTTTACGTAGGCTCCATGCCCAGCATGGAACCCAGTGTGGGGCTTGAACTCATGACCCTGAGATCAAGACCTGAACTGAAATCGAGAGTCAGATGGTTAACCAAGTGAGCCACCCAGGCACCGCCCCCCCCCCCCCCAGCATCCCCACTTTTAAAGAGCAACGCCTGGCTTTGCGCTAATCAGCACTTCTGCTTTGGTACTTTATCAGGCAGCACAGACAGGGTCCAGCCTGAGAAATGCCAACTTGGGCATGGCTCACCACCCTAGAGTTGGAAGGATCTGGGCTCAAGTCCTGCCCCTGCTACTTTCCAGATGTGCTTTCCAGTGACTTTTCCCACTCTGAGCCACCACGTTCCCATCGGGAAAGCTCAAGTAATTCCTTCATCTTGGCCAGGTGATTGTGAATTGTAAACGAGAAAATACAAGTGAAAGTGTTTTGACGCTGACGATGTCAAATTGACATCGCGAACAGACTGAAGGATCAACTCCCATTTCTCCCACTGCCAAAAATCTTTCCCATTCTGTTCTCCCAGCAGAAGCCAATGCCTGCTCAGTGTTAAAGGTGATGGATGATTGTGAGGCACATAGGACATCAGGGGAATCTTGAGGGGAAGGAAATGGCGACTCCTTTCTGAGTCACGCTTTACTTTCTATCCACTGATCTTTCCTTCCATCAGCCACTCATCTACCCATCCAATAAATATCTTTCATGCGACTGAGCCAGCAGCCTGTGAGCACTCTGATTCTATCTAATGAAACGTTGTCAACACTTCTCTTACCACAATGTTGTCAACAGCTCTCTTGAGTCCTGCCATTTGTGCTGAAACCAAAGCTGCTAACAGTGGCTGGAGTGCAGATCCCATCTGACCCTATGGTTTGGCAGAGCTGACAGTCTGGTGGCTTTGCTGGGACCATCAAGCCAAAGGGCTAGGGAAAACTGGGCTCCAGGAAACCACACTGAGAATGTAAGAATGCTTATGGGGATTGGAAAAACCAGACTCAGTTTAGTCGTGGGCTTCCTCCATCCAGTCTGACAAAGTTGTGTAGACACAGGGCGGGTGCTGAGGAAGTAGACCACGGCTGCAATGGGACAGGGCTTTGTGATCTAGCAAAAGGGATGTCTTCTCCGCCAGACTTGGGGAAAGCCAGGCTTCCAGAATAGCCTTGCCAAGTTTAGGAAACAGGCAGGCTTTTCATCCTGGCTCCTCCTAGGTCTCCATGTCTAGACATTTGCTTGGTGATACCATGGTAACTGTGATGCCACAATGGAACATTCTTCCCAAGGTGGTAGAAGGAATCCCTCTGTTGAGCTCTGCTGTGTAAAGTCAGAGTGAGTTCATTTCTCCTTTGGCAGTAGCAGTTCACAGAAGACTCTGAGAGCCATCCTGACAGCAAGAAACATCCAGTGTCATGAGCGGAACATGGTGACTGAGAACGGCTATTGTGCACAGTTTGAGGCAAGAGTGGGGCTGATGCTATGATGGGGGGGGAGACACGTGTGGGCTTTGAACTCAGACAGACCCCAGTTCAAATTCCAGCTCCACCACTTGGAAGCTGTGTGACCTGGGGCAGGTTTCTGTGTGTGAATGTCAGTTTCTGAATCTGTAAAATGGGAACAGTGATACTGTCTGCCTTGTCCGGTTATTGCACAAATTAACAGAGCTACAAACTGGGCGGTTATGATGTAAAAGTATAAGTGGTCAGTAGTGAAAAGAAATCCCAGCATCATTTAAGCCAGCTGAGTGTGGCAGGATGGGCAAAGCCAGGGGTGGGCTTGCAGTAAACCCTGCTTTTACTTTCAGCAGCATTTTATGGCTACAGAGTTAAGAAAGGGGTCAGGTTCCATGAGTCAAAAAACAACCCTCTTCTGAGACCCAACTCTCTGGGAAGCCTGGGGACCCTGGCTGGATCGAGGAGAAAACTGACACACAGGGGCTGGCTCCTCTTTGTGGGCCATCTTCCCAATCCTAACAATATCGGTGCTGGGCAGCTGGTCCCTGAGCCCTTCACTGCACGGAACCAAGCAATTGGGACGTGACAGGTCTGTTTCCCACGTTTTGAAGGCTTTGTCAGGGGAAAGGAAAGAGGCAGGGCCTCTGACACGGTGGGGGGATTGCCGCTTAAGGGACGAGAGGAAAAGCCTGTGCCACTGGATATTGTGTTTTCACAGCTGCCCATGGTGTCTGCTGCAGTTCACTTTGGGGATGGCAGAGATGAGACGGATGCTCTTAGTACTGCTCTATGTCTCCCACTCTTCTGCCAGTGAGTGTGCTTCTCTTTTCCATGACAATGTCAGCAGCTTGTGTGACATGGCAGGGGGAGCTGTCCAGGAATCCTGTACATGGCCCTTAATGTCCAGAGAGGGACTCAGGGGGAAGAGGACTGGCAGTGCTCTGCTCGGACAGCAGGTGTTGGCGGTGGGAATCAGGCAAAGAAAGGGAACATGGGCCGTGGATGCAGGAAACTGGCTTCAGCAGTCCGATGGCAGAGCTGATCCTCGGGTGAGAGTGCCATTAGGAAAGTAAGCCTCAGACTATGGAAAAGCCCACTCAGAAACCCCACCAGGCACCATCAGGTGGGGGATGTCCTCCCCATGCCCAGGTGGAGGCCTATGGTATATCTGGTGTACTCAGAAACCAGGCCCTCCCCTTGTTTCTACCTAAGCATTGTGGTTTCAAGTAAATCTTTCATCATTAACCCCCCAAGTATCACTAAACTGATGGTTCCTGGTACCAGGAGCAAGAAGGTACCTTGGAGCCTGCTTGGGACTCAGTCCTTCCCTGACCTCCAGGTCATCCAGAACTAAGATTCCATCCTAGGAAGAGGCAGGTTGAGAGGGGACAGCAAGCTCTGTTCCATCTAGCTGCCACCCTAGCTGGCTCTGTCCAATCTTCCTGGAGTTAGATGGGAGACAGGACAGAGCATCTAACACTGCCCCAGCACACACCAAAGGGAGAACCCCGTACTTTCCTAGCCTACTCCACATCCTTGCAGCCCCAGAGAGACCAAGGGATACCCACAAGACAGAAAGGGTCTCTCCTCCCTCTTAAATAGCTTCAGGCAAGTGACCCAGGGCAAACATTTCATCTTTAGCTCAGATTTCCTCCTTATATCCTGGACCTTCCAAGGGTTTTATAAACTAGCCAACTAGAGCTTTGAGAAAGAAAAGTCATCACCTACCTGTAGGTTCTTATTGATTTGGGTAACAATGGTTAATGCCTTATTCACTATAGATTGCCAATGTTCCATGAATTGAATAAATGGCTGATAACAGAGCCACCAATTATCTGACCAATAGTTGGCTAGTGGTGCCCACCATGTGACACCTATCATCCAGGACCACCAATTTATTTTTTTTTTAAGTTTATTTTGAGAGAGAGAGAAAGCACGAGTTGGGGAGGGGCAGAGAGAGAGGAAGAGAGAATTGCAAGCAGGCTCTGCACTGTAAGCGCAGAGCCTGATGCAGGGCTTGAACTCACAAACCGTGAGATCGTGACTTGAGCCCAAATAAAGAGTTGGACGCTTAACCGACTGAGTGACCCAGGCGCCCCAAGGACCTCTGATTTAGAAACATGTACTAGGTACTTGTGGTTTGGGATTTATAAACAGCAACCAGAGTAGTGGCTTACGTTAAAAAAAAAAAAAAAAGAAACAAAGAAATCATCCATTAGCATTATCAGTCATTAGGATACAGTTTGCAAAGCACCTTCCCATAATCTCTCCTTACATGATCTTTATGACTCCAAGAGGTGTGTTACCCCACATTTCAAAAGAGGAAACTAAGGTCCAGAGAGGTAAAGTGGCATTTCCCAAGTCTCACGGCACAGGGGCCAACAGTATCTGGGACACTGCATCCAGAACCTTCCCAAAACACTAGTAGATCTCAAAGCTGAATACACATTAGAAACTACCTGGGGAGGCTTTTTAAAATGCCAGTGCCCAGGTCGTGTCCCCAGGGGGACAGCAGGTGGATGGCCAGCAGGTGGATGAAATGTGCAGCTAGGTTGAGAATCCCTGCCCTCCACTCTGAGTACTGAGGATGAGATAGGCACCCCTGGCCATGAGGACTGTCAGGACAGGGAGGGAGTCAGCAGCCACAGAGAGCAAAACACCCCATGTGTACGCCATCCCATAATGTTGCCTGCAAAGTAGGAGGCTCAGCTCACTCAGTCTGGGGCTTTGAGTTTCAAGGGTCCTTCCTGTTCTATCATTCTTACACTTTCCATGATTCTATGAATAAGGACTTATTTTTCAGTACAGAGCAATACAGCATCTTGGGTGAAACCAGGACAGGCAGGGGGAGAATGTTTATTTAAAACATTAGTCAACATTTTACTCTCATTTGAAACAAATGTCCAGACCCAAGAGACTGCCCAATTGGAGGCAACTCACTTGAGGGCCTGTAAAGGCAAAGGCCAAGCAGGCCTGAATGGGCCAGAATCAGCCTCAACCTGGTGGGACCTTTTAACCCCTTGATGACTGGACTTCAGGGAGTGATTGGTAAAGCAAAATGCTTTTGTTCATTCACCAAAGATGGAGAGCCAGAAGGAGTGGGGAGCCAGCAGGAGAGGTGGTCTTGAGGTGTGATGCAGTGGTGGTGGCCTCAGGCCGCCAACTCCTTGCCCCAACAGTGAGGCCCCCACACACCCTCTCTGCAGGTTGTGGCATCCAGAAAACCAGTGTTGTGGAAACTTCCGAGGAGGGTTTGGTCAAAGACCAGGAATTCCCGTGGGTGGTGTCGCTGCAGGATTCCCAGTACACTCACCTGGCTTTTGGCAGCATCCTCAGTGAGTTCTGGATCATCAGCATCGCATCTGCCTTGCAGAACAGGCCAGTACCCGTGCCTTTGGGGCCTACACAGCCCCCTGGGGTGGAGGTGGAGGGACCCTTTCTGGCTCAGCCTGGGGAGACCTGGAAGGTAGATTCCTGGTGACAGGGCAACAGGGCTTTTTACTGGCTTGGCACTTGCCCTGCCATGACTCTTGGGGTCCTGGAATCACCAGTTGCCAAAGTCATGCTGTCCAGTGTGTTCTCTGCTGTGGGGACTGCACACCCACAAGGTGAAATGATTGTTCCTCCATCCTCCACGGGAAGGACATCTGTTCCCATTTTACTGCAACACAGGCACTGACCCCTGGTACTAGAGGTACTAGAGGTCTTTACTCTAAGCTTGTTAAGTGAATTGTTAGGAGCCTGTACCTTAAAACACTTAACCTTGAACCTTACAACGTGACTGCCACAAATATATGTGCATGGAGAAAAGACTTGAAGGAAATATGCAAACGCTTTACAAGCACTTATCTCTGAATGCTCAGAATGCACCCGATTTCTGTTTTCTTCTTTGAACTTCTTTGTAGTCTCCAAATTCTATGTGGTAAATTTATACATTCTTGTAAACCAGGAAAAAAAAAAACACCTCAAATGTTATTAAAGGAATAATTTTTTGTAAAACATTTTACTTTTTGACCCAAAGATTTCACTTTTGAGAGTGGACATTAATGAAATAATTTCAACCACTGGAAAAGTTTTATGCACAAAGTTGTTCATAGGGTGGTTAAACACACACAAAACACTCGAAATGTTATGTCCAATTATCATGGATAAATAAATTATGGTTACTCATTCATATATGTATACCATATAATATATAGTATATAAATAATATATATTATTATATATCTCTATATATACTATTTATATGCCATATATATATACACGTGCACACACACACACACACACACACACACACAGAGTATGGGGGAAGAGATTATAATTACTATAATTGCCAAATAAGTAATAGTATAAACACTTGATAGAATATGGTGGAGATGCTGAATTTTTAAACCTATAACTTATATTTTTATTTGAAAATAGTTTTATTTATTTATTTATTTATTTATTTATTTATTTACTTACTTATTTATTTATATTTGAGAGAGAGAGAGAGCACAAGTGGGGGAGAGGGGCAGAGGGAGAGAGTAAGAGACAGAATCTTAATTAAGCAACTTCCATGCTCAGCATGAAGCCTGATATGGGGCTCCATCCCACGACCCTGGGATCATGACCTGAGCTAAAATCAAGAGGCGGACACTCAATGGACTGAGCCACCCAGAAACCCCTGAAAATGCATGCATTTAAATTAAAATACATGTACACAGTATAATGTTCAGAAGGAACCAAAAGATTCCCTGGCCTTCAGACACTAACTTCCTCCCTTAAACCATATTCTACCGTCAGTTTCTTAAATATTCTTCCTTAATTACTCAATGCACTTATGGATATCTATATATCTATAGGTCTAGCTATATTGATTCTTGTATCTATTGACAGAGAGAGATTTTTCCTTCCCCCTTGTATTAATCTGCTAGGACTGCCCTGACAAATACTACACACAGGGTGACTTAGACAACAGAAATTTATTTCTCACCTTTTGGAAGCCAGAAGTCCAAGATCAAGGTGTCGGCAGGACTGGTTTCTTCTGAGGACTCTCTCTTTGGCTTGGAGATGGCTGCCTTCTTGCAGTGTCCTCACATGGCCTTTCCTCGGGGTGTGCACTTCTGATGTCTCTTCCTCCTCTCGCAAGGACGCTAGTCCTGTTGGGTTAGGGCCCTACCCTTAAGACCTCATTTAATCTTAATAACATCCTTAAAGGCCCTGTGTCCACATACAGCCACACCTGGGGCTAGGACTTCATCAACAAATTTGGCACAACACAATTCAGTCTGTAACAGCCCCTGATACAACTGATAGTGTACCAGACACAGCATTACACTCAGCTTTTTCACTCTTTTTCACTCCCATATTTATCAGCTGCACAGTATCCCAAGATGGATCTACCATAAATACACAGTCCTCTGATAATGGAAATTTGGGTTGCTTCTGATCTTTCCTAGTGCCAAAAATTGCTGCAAGTAGATATATTTGTCCATATATTATTGCATACATGTGTAATACACTGTAGCATGAATAACCCAGGAGTGGACAGATTGGACTGAATCTTGGCACTAGCCTTCCAGAGAGATTTGACTTTCCAGGTAGCGTTTTCATTATTGTTATTTCCTATCTGGTCTATCTATTTTGGTTTTGATTTTCCCTTTGCCTCAGGGTTTTATTAAAGACAGAGTTTTCAAATACTCAGGGTGTTTTGTTTGTTTTCTGCCCTTATTTCGTTTTGAGTTATACTACATGATGATTAGATCTGTTTAGGAATTTGTTGGGGTGCCCTTGCAGTCTACTATATGTGAGTCACGTGAATGTTTCCCACGGTTAAAATTCAAAGTTCATTCTCTGTCTCTGGTGGACAATTTAATATATAAAATTGGGGGAGGGAATCTCTTTGCTTTGTCCTAGGTTGACAGAGGTGAGTTAAAATCTACCATGAACAAGCTTTGGCTCTTTCTCCTATTTCCTGGAATATTTCCTTTATGAACATTATGTCACATGCTGCAGATGCTTATGACTACAAGGTCTTCGCCATAGACTTAATTCTTTTTCGTCATTAAGAGCCTCTCTGTCTTACTTCATGTTCTTCTGCTCTAAATTGATGTTCTAAATGAAACTCCTGCTTCTTGTTTTCATTTTAGTTTATGTTTTCCGCTTTGTTTTTCTTTTCATTATGTGGCCTTTGTTTTGAATGCCTCTTCTGACAAATTTGGAAAGTTTGAGTTTTTGTTCTGGGTTTCACCTTAGAGTTATAATTTCAAGGAAGATAGCAACATCCTTTGTTTCTTTCTGCACTGTCCTCTTTATTATTATTATTTTCTTTTAATGTTTACTTTTGAGACAGAGACAGACCGCGACTGGGGAGGGTCAGAGAGAGAGCAAGATGCAGGATCCAAAGCAGGCTCCAGGCTCTGCACTGTCAGCACAGACCCCAACACGGGGCTTGAAGTCACAAACCCTTAGTTTGTGACCTAAACCAAAGTCGGAGGCTTAAGCAACTGAGCCACCCAGGTGCCCCTGGACTGTTCTCTTTAGACTCTACTGTGGTCAGTGCCAGAAGTCCTATCTTTTTACTCCTTCCCTCCTTCTCCTCCACCACACAATTTTAATAGATAATATAAGTGCTTTAATGTTTACCTTGATTCACATACATATTTGCACATCCTTATTATTTTACATATTAGCTGTAAATAATGTTTAGATTCCTTTAAAAGATGAGGAAACTGACATATATACCTACCTTCCGACCTTCTTTATAGCTTTAGTTACACCATCTGATTACTGACAGAGTTTACATTTTGACTCTAACCCAAACTCTAAAAAGGCTTTCAGTCCAATGTTATAATGAACTCCACACTTACTGACAATCCTTTTGTTGGATTTTCTCCATTCAACACTGCTGGATTTTCTCCATTCAACACTAGAATTGGCTAAAATTTGTCTCCATTTCTTAAAGGGCTCCCAAGAACCATATTTCCTTGGGTTTTGGATATTAACAAATGTGCTGTCCTTAAGCCTGAATGACAACTTAAGTGTAGAATTCATGGATCATGCCTTCTTTCTTTTGGAGACTTAATAGGCATTACCACTGCACACACACCCCCACCCCCACCCCCACAACTGCCATGGTTTCTGGTGTTAAATCTTGCTGTAGAGAAGTATGAAGCCATTCTGATTTTTTCCTCTCTAGGTACATGATCACTCATCCCAGTGCACCTGAGAGAGGTCTGGTTACACCTATTATCCTAGTGTCCTGCTGCAAGCATCCCCTTTCACTCTCTCAAGTTCCTTGGGTTAGGCAATAAATTACATAGCCAAACTTAAGATGACTTAATCTGGTTTTGTTTGGATGCCTAAGGATTCCTCCTTTGTCTTTGAAGTCCATCAACTTTACTAGCTATGCGGCATCTCTTCCATTTCTACTCTCTACTCTCTTCTACCCTTCTGGGTCCCAGGAGGCTGACTTGTGTGGGTTACACCAATGGTACTCTTACCTTCTGGGTTCCAGTTGGGTTTGGCCAGGGGGAGTACTGGCAAGAGTTAAGAGGAAGTGGGGAGGGCAAGGGCAGGGTCCTTATTCCCCAGAGGGGTACTGTAGACTGGCTGCCTCCTCCAGCCAAGTGACCCACTGCCCACAGCTCTGACCACTCCCTCCTCCCTCTAGTACCCAAAGGCACAATGGCACCCTGTTGTTATCTGAGCAGGAAGCTGCATTTGCCACGTGACACCCAGGTACTGAACTATTCTTTGGGATTTCCCTACATCCTTCCAAGACCATTGTAAAGAATCCCCAACTTACTTAAACTTTCCCCAACTTACCTTGAGAGTGCCATCTGTTTCTTGTTGGGAGCTGACAAGGCTATGTCTCCATGTTGATCATTCTGTATTGCTTTTTCCCTAGGGTGTGGAGTACACTTCCAAACTGTAGAGTGAAGGCTTATTTCCAGAAAACGTTCTTAAATTGGATCCGGAAATCTTTTTTCTGTCTTATTTGGGTTACTTTCTTTGTGATCTGCTGGCTCTCCATTGACTGCCATATTTGTCATTCTCCTTTCTCGCCTTTAAAAATCTTTGTTAACGTCCATTTCATTCTGGTCACTTTTCTCAGTCCTTCACCCTGTGCCCTTTAATGTATTTTCTGTTCTCTCTATTCTCCTTTTTGCAGCATCCAATTTGGCCTTTATTTTGGTGCTTGTTTTGTTTTCTTTCTACCTCTTTGCTGAGAAGTGTGTTTGACCAGCTTTTCCTGACTTTGTGGGAGTAGGTCATCTAGAACACCCTGCGCTTCTGCCGTCCTTTACTGCTGTTGTCAGCCCTTCCTCTAATTCTGAGGTTTGGATTCTCTAGTGTCTTTTCATTTTATGGTGTTTTTCAGCATTTGTTTCTCATTTCTGTAGTCCCTTGGGTGGTCCCCAAGGGGAGAAAGGGAAAACAACCAAATGAGCTCCATCGCTATTATAATTGGAATTTCTCTCAAGAGTATTTACAGAGTATGTAATATGAAAAGATGTTTCTTTTAAAATGTTAAGAGCTAAAATCAAGAGTCAAGGTTACATCCTTGGTGTAACTATGACTATCAAAAAAAAAACCCAAAAAACTATGGAAAAAGCATGAAAAAAAGATAAGTCATAACAGATTATCTTTGGGTGGTGGGACAAATGACATTAAGGTAAAGGAATTGCCAAGATGCTATGGGCTCACAAAGGAGGACACGAGTCTAGGAGTTCAGAAAAGATTTCCTGGGGACTGGGTCCAAAGGGGTAAGTAAAAACTAGCCCAGGAAAAATCAATTGGATGAGTGTTCCAACCCACCCCCAAAAGAGTAAATATGAAAAGGAAAGTGTGAAGCTTCCATGGTGCCTCGGCTTCTAAAGATTCCCTTGCTTTTTCTCTAGGAAGGACATCATTGTCATAGTTGGTATAGCTAAGATGGATGCCAAAGTGATTGCTCATGAAGAGTATCCGGTCAACACCATCATCATCCATGAGGATTTTGATAATGAGACCATGAACAATAACATAGCCCTCCTGAAGACAGACACGGCGATGCAGTTCAGCAACCTGGTCCGACCCATCTGCTTCCTTGGCAGAAAGCTGCATATGCCACCAGCCTTGCAGAACTGCTGGGTGGCAGGATGGAATCCCACATCTGCAGTTAATGCCTTCCTTCTCCTAGAGGAGGCTGTGTGTGTGCGAGCAGTGGGGGTGACTTGGATGAACCGTTCTAGGGTTTAGCTTCCTATCTCCCATTGCTCAAGATTCTAGAGTTGGGCTGGAACCCTCATGTAATCAGTCAAGATTCCCAATGCTTGCCCTTTCTGTGGCCATTCTTACATTTGGTCCCTTTTCTTTTAGCTCTACACCCAAATTAGAAGTACATAGTCAGCAAACAGCTTGAAGGGAGTGCAAAGCCTGAAGGGAGAGATCAGGAGACATTATTCCCTGAACAGGAGCTGACTGCCCTCTTGACCAAGCCATCCTTCTTTTCTTTTATTCTTGGGAAGTGAACAAGGAAATGTATTCTCTGTAGATGTGGACGAAGGATGAATATGTTCTCTATTTTTACATTCAAGTTCAAAACAAAGGTAGTGTTCAGAAAAACTCAGACACAGTTTCTGATTTCTATGAGAACGGGGTTTATCAGAATATTCTCCACTCATTCCCATCTGGATACATGAGTTGTAGTTAACATAGACAATGTCTTCTCATTAATAATTCTTGGCTTTCTGTTGCATGGTCCAGACAGGAAATCACATGACAATGAGTATCCTGAGGAAAATCTCCGTGAAAGACATCAACATGTGTCCCTTACACAAACTCAAGAAAACAGGATGTGGCAATCACATAGAGCAGGAAACCGATGCTGTCTGTTTGGTAAGAACATGATGGAGTAAAAGCTAAAGGCTGAGAGTAAGCAGTGGTCACTTCAAGGGAATCTCAGGACTCTCCCTCATTGCACAGTGAACTCCTTGAGGGACTGGCAGGGACTGTCACTTGGGATCCATGGCTGTCTCCGGGGTGAGCGGTACTTGTCAGATAGCAGATATTCAATAAAAATCTACCGAGTGGACTAAACAGTCATCATTTTCAATGTGATATGATTAAGCATGTCTAAGTCATAGATGGTTTTTCACTGGCTAAAAGTTTGCAAGTGTGAGTCCAAACCATGTATACTTTGAGCATGTCTACAGGGTGGGGTCAAACCATGTATACTTTGAGCATGTCTACAGGGTGGGGTCACTGTATTCAGCTTCTATGGAATCTAGACTCTGATGCTATTGCTCATCAGTTATTGATTTGTTTTTTGTTTTTCTGTAAGAAGCCCTGCCCTCCAATCGGATGAGGGCTGTACAGATGTGGCTATCCTACTACCTCAGCAAAATGTGTGGAATTGACAAGTCCCTGGTCCATGCTCCCTCATGTCCACACCAGAGAAGGTGGGGCTTACAGGGATCACACAGTTAATAAATGTTATAATAAGGATGAGAACCCGGGTCTACCAGGTGTCCAGGCGGTTTCTCTCCTCTACTCCAAAATTTCTACACTCTACTATTTCTAATTTCTACTTTCCTTCAAAGTAACTTTCAGCATTCCCAGATGGGGAAATTTTTTTCCCCAGATGATCTAGGGAAAGTATTTTAGAGAAAGGGGGAAGAGTACATATATGTGGACAATTCTTCCTAAAAGTAATTTTATTGCAAATGCATGAAGGGCTGCCTTTCATTATACAATGTTTGCCCTTCCAAAGTTGATCCAACATTTATTGAGTGTCTACTTTGTACTGGACTCTAGCAGGTGGAAGACTAACAACTTTTTAAGTTAGATAATTGAGGTATTCCCTCAATCCAGCACCATATTTCATCAAATCTAAGATGCTATCAGTTGTGGAATGTGCCATTATTGTATGGAATACCAAGGGAGAGAAAATGCTGCCAGTTAAACTCTGATATCAACCAATTAAAAGACACATATCATTCCAAAGATGTTAATTTTTTTAAGTTTATTTATTTTGAGAGAAGGAGAGTGTGAGCGAGGGAGGGACAGAGAGACAGGGAGACAGAATCCTGAGCAGGCTCCGTGCTGACAGCACAGAAGTGGGGGCTAGATCCCGTGAACTGTGAGATCATAACCTGAGCCGAAATCAAGAGTTGGAGGCTTAACCAACTGAGCCACCCAGGTGCCCCAAAAGATAATAATTTTTCAAGAGCATCTTAGATTCAATGGGATATGGTAAGCTGCTTCTACTCTAAATGATCACCTCTTCAAATCTACCTGCAAAGTTTAGACTGGTTTTTACCTGTAGCACACCTGCAGTCAGTCCTTTGTTTTTGAACTGTGCTAGCAAACTGGCTCAGACAAATGGTGACTTGTCTACCTAGGATGCTTTCTTCTCTCGGACATGTGTTCTAGTGTCCAGAAGTCCTCAAAGCCATATTTCAGATATATAGAATAAACCACCCAAGTCCAATATCTGCCTAGTGGGTCCTGGGAAACCCAACAAAAGCAGAATCACTCTGAACCCACCCCCCCTCCTTTCCTCACAACTGTCAGGGCTTTTGTTCAATGTTAAGGTTAAGGATCACACAATAAAAGAGCCCCTTTAAGCTGGGGCTGCTCCCCTAGGAGATGAGGTGGGGCTGCTCCAGAGGAGCACCTGGTACTTCTTCTCTCAGCTGCTTGGGCTTCAAAAGTTGGGCCCCACAGGTTATGAGGGAGAGGAAAAGCCATGTATTCTACACCTGGGCAGAGTGGCAACTTGCAAAACCACGCAATAGCCAGGGAGGTCTCCATACAATCATTCATTCATCAAACTACTTGTCCTAAATTGCACTGTTTTTCTTCCTCCAGCTATGGAACCACAGTTAAAGCAAATTGGGGTTGGAACTGGTGACAGAAGGGAAGACCATGCCATGCTTGGCTGGACAGCGTCTCTGCCCCAGGCAGACATGATAGGGTGCAGATGTGAGCCCATTCAACAGTCGTAGCAGAGCCAGCCAGCCCTTGGGATGAAATCTCTGCCCTCTGCTCCATGGCAGCACAGGGCAGCAAGAGTACCATGTGCTGGCTCAGTCCTTCTGCATAGGCGGGCCACGTGGGCCGAAGGGGCTGGTCAGCCTTTGAATGACAACCCTTCTTGGGGCAAGATGGACCACGGGTTTGGAGTGGGGTCAGGTATTACCTTAAGAGGAGGATTGGGGCTGGGGCAGTTAAGGTAAATTATACCTAGTAGTTGCCTTATTGCTCTTCTCATATTTCTCAGCTTTTCATATAAAATGATGGCCTTTTCTATTACCAGGATAATAGTAGCTAATTGTTTGAGTGTGTACTGTGTGCCAGGCACTGTTAGGGTTCTGCACTTTACTCAGAGAGAACTAGGTGACTCTCCGGGGTCACACATCTAGGTAAGCGTGCCAAGCTTCTCATCACTCCCTTAAAAGGAGGTAAGGTCTGTGTGGTAGAATCCCTGAGTCCCAGAGGAAGGCTGAGAGCACGGGCAGGGCTGGTGAGCAGGTGTGCTGCCAGGCAGCTGCCAGGTGGAAAAGCCGGGAACCCAGCCTGGTCAACGTTGGAGGAATGAGGAACCAAGAGAGAGTGAGGATTTAGTCAAAGGGGCATGAAAATGAAATGCGAACCAGGAAGCTAAAGGCAAATGGCAGAAGCCTGCAAATACTCTGCACAATAAAAGGAAAATCCATCTTGTTGGAATTCGTGGCGGTGGCTGCCTAGATCGGAAATAGTATCCTATAATTTACCCCCTCTCAAGTGAGAACCAATATAAAACATTTCTAGAACAAACGGTAAATTGCACAAGGATATATTTAAAAAGAAAATGAGTTTTCTTAGACCTGAAGCCTTCTGTCCTTTGTCACAGGGGGACCCTGGAAACCCCATGATGTGCCAGCTACAGCAACAGAATCTGTGGGTGCTGAGAGGAGTCTTGTCCCACGGGGGTGAGAAATGCCCTGGCTTTTTACTGTACCTCAAGGTGGAAGACTATGGCGACTGGATTATGTCCAAGACTAAGAAAACCAGCCATCCGCTGTCTGCCTTCCACCACTGGGAGAATTTGCTGCCTTCACTCAGCTACAAAGAACATTTCACCATTACACAGAGAAAACATTCCGGGCTGGGCCAAAGTGGATGGTCCCCAGCACACGTGCAAGGAGAAAAAAAGGCCGACGTATATTCATTGCCAGCAAACAGCTCTAGAAAGAGCCCAGACATTGGGAGGAAAGGGTTAAGGGAATTAGGCAGGACTTCTGTTGTGGACATACAACCCATGTACTATGATTATTATGGCGGGGACTCTGGGGAGGGTAGAGGGCCTATTTCAGGTCAGAACAGGTTACATCAGCCCCAAGAATTACCTTGTTTTTCTTTGTGCTTGTTTTCTTTTGCAATGGTATCTAGTCTAGGAGCTAACCCTCCCAACTGAGGAATAAGCTCAGAATGCTGAGTGCTGGGCAGTCACATTCTGTTTTGCTGTCTGTTTAATGGTGATTGTTTTTGCTAGCTGCACACCTGGGCTGCCATGGACAGGCCCAGGGTGCACACTGGGCTGGCTCTCCCTCCTCTGTCCCACTCCCACATGCGGGAAGGTCACTTTCATTTGTGCTTGTGAACTAAATGTGGGCTAACAAGTGCCAAACCATTAGAGTGCCCTGTGGTTCTTTCAGTGTTAACCGTTCCAGGGGCCAGACTGTGAAAACACTCCCCACGGGCAAATGTGGCCTGGGGAGTGCCTGCCAGCGTGGCTGGAGAGTCGGGGACACCAAGCAGCACAGGGGACAGTGAGAGGACCCCTTGACTGGAAAGGAGCTGATTACTTTAATGGATCACTCTTGTCTGCAGCTGTGGCCTCCCTCTGGCTACTTCCCAGGGGGGCAAATTGCCTGCAAATGCTCATTGGTGGTTTTCATTTTATTCCAAGCCTTGCGGTAGCCTTTTAAGGTCATCTGCAAAGAGGAAAAAGAGGGTGAGGGGAGAAGGTCACTTGGGAAAAAGCAATTGTGATTTTTCAGAGCGCAACCTGCATCCAGCCCTGTGGTGAGGCAGGTGACTCTGTGTGGAAGAGTCAGCCAGTCTGGAAGAATCTTCTAAAGAGCTGGTTTCTGTTTAGTGAAGTCAGAAGCTGCAGGTTCCTGCCGTGCTTCTCTGCTACTTCTCGGCTCCAAATCTGAAAGGCCCAAGTTTGGATCCTAATTCACCCTCTGCCACCAAGTGACCACGGGAAAGGCAGGACAAAGTACTGTGGGAACCGGAGCCTGGGTCTGGATGTGAAAACGCCAGGCTTCCCAAGTGACCTGACCGGGTTTTTAAGCTACTCTACTGATGTCTCAAGTGTTCTCAGTCTGCAAGTGGGCCTGTGGCAGACCTGAGGCTTTCTTTTTTCACACTTTGTTTTGCATTTTGTTTCCCATTTCTCCCTGGTGCTTACCAGGAGCAAGGGTGCTCTGAGCACACCTATCTCAGGAAAAGGCTGCGGGGTTCTCAAAACAAAGAGCCAGGGCAACTATGTAAATGCATGGAATCGGGTTCTGAGTAATATTAAAAATCCATTATCTCATTTTTTTAAAAAAACTGGCTTCTCCATGTATAAAGTAGCAATCACTACATCACCAATGGTGGGGGAAGGGATTCAGAAGCTTCCAGAATTCATTAAGAAAACAAGCAACTAACAACAATATTACTACAGAGTCTCTTTCTGTCCCTAACACTGAAAAGGGAACTTACCAAAAGGAAAGGGCATCCTTCATTTCCCTTAGAGACTTAAGTGACTGCTGAGATCTCTCACAGACATCACCTGTCCAAACACCTGTACTCTTAGCTTGAAAAATGAAACCCTTGACAAAAACGTGAAGGACATGAAAGGCTGCCTGTCTTGGGGTTCTCGGAGACTTACCTCTGCAATCTCCACTTTCCTTTCCCACATCTTGATGGTCTTCTCCAGGTCCCCAGTTAGGATGTTCTCCCGCACGTACACCATCACCGGCGGCACCTGGAACTCAGCCAGCTGTGTGCGGAGTCTCTTGTTCACGGCCTCAGCCTTGGCCCGGTCCTGGGTTGGGAAGGACCAATTAAACCAGGGATCCCTGGAAGTTCTGGCTTACTGACCCTGGCATCTCTCCCCAGTTTCAATGTAGTTCTCAAAATAATGTTGAAATTTTCAAAGGAGTGGGGAAAATTGTGAGATTCTGATTCTGGTTATTATTATTTTTTATAACTGGTGATGTTTTTCATCTAGTTAAGAAACACTAAGTGCAGTCTAAAACAGTGTTTTTTCCCCTGCCTTTCTTCCTTCATTAAGGAATATGTTTTTATTTTTAGGTTTGGTGGGTTTTTTTGGGGGAAAACTATGTATTTAAGTACACTTTGATTTGATCAGTCTCAACTCTCCTTTCTGTAAAATATACATAACATAAAGTTGCCCATTTTAACCATTTTTAAGTGTGCAGTTCTGTGGCATTCAGTACATTCACACTGTTGTATGAGCTTCACCACCATCTGTCTCCAGAACTTTTTTCATCTTGCAAAATTAAACCTCTGTACTCATGAAATGATGACTCCCCATGACTACTTCCCCCAAGCCCCGGCAACTGCCAGTCTACTTTCTGTCTCTATGAATTTGATTACTCAGGTACCTGTATAAGGGCAATCACACAACATTTGTCCTTTTGTGACTGGCTTCTGTCACTTAGTACAATATCTTCAGTGTTAATCCATGTTGTAGTATATGCAGAATTTCCCTCCCATTTAAGGCTGAATTATGTTCCATTGTATGTATACACTACATTTTGCTTCTCCATTCATCTGTCCATGAACTTTTGGGTGGCTTCCACCCGTGGGCTATCATGGACAATGCTGCTATGAACATGGGTAGCCAAGCATCTGTTCAAGTTCATGCTTCCAATTATACTGGTTATATACCCAGAAGAAGAACTGCTGGATCAATAGTTACTCAATTTTTTGAGGAATCTCTATTTAAATTTTATTTTTTTTAATGTTTATTTTTGAGAGAGAGACAGAGTGTGAACGGGAGAGGGGCAGAGAGAGAGGGAGACACAGAATCCGAAGCAGGCTCCAGGTTCTGAGCTGTCAGCACAGAGCCCAACGTGGGGCTCGAATTCACGAACTGTGAGACCATGACCATGAGAAGTCGGACACCTAACCAACCGAGTCACCCAGGTACCCCTTAAATTTTATTTTTGAAATTATCATACAGTAAAATTAACTAGTGTTTTTCTTTTTTTTTTTTTTTTAATGTTTATTTTTGAGACAGAGAGGGACAGAGCATGAACGGGGGAGGGTCAGAGAGAGAGAGACACACAGAATCTGAAGCAGGCTCCAGGCTCTGAGCTGTCAGCACAGAGCCCGACACGGGGCTCGAACTCACAGACCGTGAGATCATGACCTGAGCCAAAGTCAGAAGCTCAACCGACTGAGCCACCCAGGCGCCCCTAGTGTTTTTCTTTTAATTGAGTGGATTCTTTGAATCAGCAATGTTCTTTTATTGTTTTAACAATTGTTTTGAATAGGTAATACACTTAATTCAAATGGTATAAAAATACAGAGTGACCATCTCCCGTCCTACCCTCTCCCTGGCCACATAGTTCTCTTCCCAGAAGTATGCACTATTTTTAGGTTTTGTGCATTCTTCTAGAGATCTACATTCATATAAACATATATATCTCCCTTTTTTGCACAAAGAATAGCCAATGCTATTCACTTTTACTCCTCCAACTTTATTTCACTTAGTAAATATTGAAGACCTTTCTGTATCGGCGCAGAAAAAACTCATTCTTTTTAACAGCTGCATCATTTTCCATTGTATAGAAGCCCTCACAAACAAGTCACTTAGTTCCTCGATCTCTTGCTGTTACCATAAACAATCCTGTGATTACTAATCTTCCCGGTATGGTCATACTCTAAATACACAAGTACATCAGTAGGATGAACTACTGAAAGTGAAATTGTCTGTTCCGAGGTGGCAATTTTGCCCCCAGGAGACATTTGGCAATGTCTGGATGTATTCCTGGTTGTCACAACTTAGGAAATGCTACTGGCACCTAGTAGGTAGAGGCCAGATATGCTACTAAACACCTTACAGGGCATAGGACAGCCTCCAGAAGGAATTATCTGATCTAAAATATCAGTGGTGTCCAGGTGAAGAAGCCCTGCCATGAACATATGTGTATGTTTGGTAAAGAGTGCTAAATCGCCTTCTAGAACAATCAGGCCAATTTTGCCTCTGCAGCAGTGTTTGAGACTGCCTGTGTTTTCTCCGTTCTCTCAACACAGTCTTACCAAATTTTTTATCTTTGTTAATCTAGGAGAGGGGAAATGGTATCTCATTATGGCTTTATTTTGCATTCCTTATGAGTGAGGTAGAACATCTTTCATATAAGATTTTTTGCTTTTCTGTAAACTGTTTAAATCTTTTGTCCATTTTTTAAATTTTTTTTGTTAGAGTTTTCTTAATTTGTAAAAGATATTTAAGTTTTAAGAAAATTAACTCCCTGTGATATAAGTCAACACATTTTTCTAGTTATTTATTTTTTGGCTTTGCATATGATGGTTTTTGTTACACTGGAAAAACTTCATTTTTTATGTAACTGACTTTATTGATTTTATGTTTCTGGGTCTTATACCTCAAAAATCCTCCCAATTCCAAGAGTATAATAAAAAACGTTTCCACTGTTAAGTTTAGGACTTTTAATGTTTTTATCATTTATACTTAAATCTCTGATACATCTGGATTAATTTCACTATAACTTTTGTTTTTTCCTAAATGGCTACCTCACCATCTCAAATCATTTATTGAGTAATCTAGTTGTGCCTCACTGTGAAGATATCTTTATCATAAACTAGATGCATCATATAAAAACTTTATCAGATACTTGATAATATATATGACATATATGTGATCTGTAATGGGGCTCATCATAGACTTATATTTTTCTTTGAACTTCTAGTTTATTCATGAGCTTGTTTTTAATACTGTAATTTCATATCATGTTTCAGTATATGGTAGGGCTAGTCCACTCATTTACTTAAGAATTTGGGGGATATTCTTATTTAATCTTCCAAAATTTTGGAGCCAATTTATTTAAGTCCTTAAAAAAAAAATCTCTTTGGGGCACCTGAGTGGCTGAGTCAGTTAAGCATCCAACTTCGGCTCAGGTCATGATCTCATGGTTTGTGAGTTCGAGCCCCACATCAGGCTCTGTGCTGACACAGGCTCTGTGTCTCCTCCTCTCTCTGCCCCTCCCATGCTCATGCTCTGTCTCTCTCTGTCTCTCAATAATAAATAAATGTTAAAAAATTTTTTAAATAATAAAAATAAAAATAAAAAAATCTCCTTGTTATTTTATTTATTTTTTTTAATTTTTTTTCAACTTTTATTTATTTTT